CTTGGGTCATGATATAACTGTAAAAATGAAAGTCACACACTGAGATGGTGGAATAGAGTGGTAACAATGTGAGTCCATAAACATTGTGAAGCTGTTACACCATCCCTGAGCTGCCCTCTTCCAGTCTTTTCCATGATGGAGAACTAAACATTGAACATATTCAAAGAAGCTGTTTGGGAGTTTTATATATAATCAAACCTAATTATATAAATTATACTTATTTTACTTTCATTTTACTTACTTTACTAATTGAAACAGTAAAGTAAGTTTCAGATGGGGGAATCTAGCTTCTTATTTGTCTAACACCAAAACTGACCCATTTTTTACATTGTGTAACTTCTCTGTTTCTGGTGAATGGTGTCTATCTCATCTCAATGGCAGTAGCAGTTAAGACCCTATGAACAACTTTCATAGCACTCATTCATTCATCAAATGTTTATTGAGTGCCTGTTCTCTTTCTGGCACAACTCAAGACCCTAGGGATAAGATGGTAAGCAAAATCAAATATTTTCTTTCTTTTTTTTAAATATTTATTTTTTAGTTGTAGTTGGACACAATACCTTTATTTGATTTATTTTTATTGGTACTGAGGATGGAACCCAGGGCCTCGCACATGCTAGATGAGTGCTGTACTGCTGAACCATAACCTAAGCCCCCAAATCAAATATTTTCTACTCCTCAAGCAATCTTTCTTTTGTAAACTAGATTTTTTTCTTCAGAGGGAAACAAAAAGCCAGGCATGGTGGCACATATCTGTAATCCCAGTGGCTTGAGAAGCTGAGGCAGGAGGATGGCAAGCTCAAAGCCAGCCTCAGCAACTTAGCAAGACCCAGTCTCAAAATAAAAAAACAGAAAGGACTGGGGATGTGGCTCAGTGGTTAAACACCCTGAGTTCAATCCCTACTACCAAAAAAAAAAAGAAAAAAAAAAGGGAAAGAAACAGTCAACCAGATTATACTCTGTCAGATTTATTTCTCATTGTAAATTAATAAATTAGCACTCTGGTGTCAATCAATATCTGTGTGAGTTTGTTAGTATGAGTCTGGACCCCGAGTCTGATTTTCTTTGTATTGTCAAAACCAGCTTTGTGGCTATACAAAGATTCTTAGTTCAACTAGGATATTCTTTTTTTTTAATTTTTATTTTTTATTAGTTGCTCAAGACAATACAATGATCTTGACATTTCATACATTTGATTCAAATAGGGTATGAATTCTCATTTTTCCACGTGTACAGATTGCAGGATCACATTTGTTATACATCCATGTGTATACATACAGCAATACTAGTGTCAGTTGTATTCTGCTGCCCTCCCTATCCCCCCTCCCTCCCCTCCTCTCCCCTCCCTATTGTCTACCCATACTACTGTGACACTTATCTCTTTTTTCCCCTTCCCTTCCCCCTCACACCAACGTATATGTATTTTGTGAACCCATGAGGGTCTCCTTCCGTCTTCCATTCATTTCCCCATTCTCCCTCCCTTTCCCTCCCTCCTCTTTTCCTTATTTCGTGATAATCTTCTTATCATGCTCTTCCTTCCTACTCTGTTTTGAGTCACCTCCCTTATATCAGCGAAGACATTCGGCATTTGTTTTTTAGGGATTAGCTAATTTCACTTAGCATAATTTGCTCTAGTGCCATCCATTTCCCTGCAAATGCCATGATTTTGTTATTTTTTATGGTAATATTCCATTGTGTATAAATGCCACATTTTTTTAATCCATTCATCTGTTGAAGGGCATCTGGGTTGGTTCCACAGTCTAGC